GCTATTAGAAATTCAAATTTACTTATATTTAATACTTAGTTTTTAGATTTTATCATTTTATAATTATAAACAATGATGAAGAGAATTATTTTAAAAATTGTTAATGGTTCAAATTACGGTTTGTTATATATCTCAAGTGATTTAATAAACTCCTGATTCTTAATGGTTTGCAGTTTAAACGCAAGCAACGTCGTCTATAGAACGGCGAAATTACAGAAAGCGTGAATTTACATTAGTTACAATCCAGCAGCATTCAATTATAAATGACGTAGCTTTATGTCGAATGCATGTAAACTAATTACAACTGTCGGGGTATCTACTCTTATGGCCGTCGATTAATCGTAGAGTGATCCGATAAATTTTCCATTTCGTATTTTCCAGCGTATGCGGGATCCAGCACTTCCAGAGAGCGGGGCACAGACACTTGAATCTATTTCAAAGTACGTACTATGTTGTGGTAACGTTCTCTACGGTGGGTTATGGGGATATCGTACCGGACATTTGGCCTTCGCAACTTTATATGGTCATTATGATCTGCGTGGCTCTCATAGTCTTACCAACACAGGTGTGTATATAACATTATATATGTTCATTACAAATATCAATAAATTGATAGATTTTTTACAAGACATATAATATATATAAAATTTAACATATTTTAATATACATATTTGTATCTACATGTCATCTACATAATACAGTATATTTAATACAGTATATTAAATAAATTCTGTATTAAATTAAATTGTGGATAATATTGTTAGAAGACTAAATATTACCCGCAATTTGCCGGCTCGCGTAAAGGAGCCAGTGTTTCGCGCTATGACGCTACGCTTTGTCTTAACGTATATTATATTATTACGAGAGCTTGAGAGTTTTAATCTAATCTAAAAATTATTTGGCTTTATATTTGATCTTTTTATTGAAAAATTGAATTTTAAAAAAATAATAAAATCTAATTTAATTCTTTTATATATGATATAGGTATTATTATTGAATTGCATTATTGATATATGGAATCGCATTTATTGATTGATTTGAAAACTTAAAAGACATCATATAAATACATATACTATTGCGTATAATTTATTTAAAAAATATACATGTAAATAATTTTTTATGATTGGTTGTAGTAATATAATATTATTCTGCAAAAAATGCTGATATTCTAAAAAAATTCGCATAAAGTAATATAGTGTTGCTCTAAACTCGTATTCATCTCGTTTAATGTGCGTCAATTGTGGTCGTTACAGTGACGTCCGCCTCATGGACTTCCTTTATAGACGTTATTTTCGAGTCATTTTCGCCGTAGAAAGCCGTAAATGTACCGAAACAAGATTCGTCTTACTGACCATATTGCCGCGCGGTTGATCCTCGTCGTTTTATGAATATTTATTATTTCGGTCGTTAGAAATATAACATTTTTATTTCTCATATGCAAGAAATGTGCATCGGATAAGAGATCAAGTTCCATGCAAGTTTCTATGTCATCATAAAAAGAATATTGATTCCGCAAATAATATTCGATGCAGATTGTTAAGATGTAAAATCAAAAATAAGGGTCGTTTAATTTTAATGAACTCATACGAAAAGAATTTTATTTTAAAATTTACCCTGAAAATATGATAGTTATGATACAATACAATTACATATTTTGAAGATTTTTATTATGCAGATTTCAATATCATGCAATAAAATTGAATAAACTTGTTTTATATTTTATTGTAATTTTATTAATGAATGAGAAAGATTTACATTAAAATTCTTTGAAATACAATATTGTCCCATGACTATCATATTTTCAGAATATATTTTAAGAAAAATTCTCTCCGTATAGTCAATTTTCTTCTAATTAAGATTTTGAAGAGTCAGTTACGAAATTATTTTACATCAAGCATTAAAGAATCCTTTTTTTTGTTAACATTTAACAAAAAAACAAATATAATAATTATTATTATTAATATTAATTTTTATATTATTTAACGTCAAAATATATCTATAGAAACTTTGTTATTCAGATATGTAATATTATAATCATGAAGATAAGAAAAAAGTAGAGAATTTAAATTAAATTCAAGCTCGTTCCAGAATTTATCATTACTTCTCTATTTCTTTAATATTCGTAATTCTATATCGATAGCATTAATGTTATCTGCATTACCTCTTTGTTCTAAAGAATCTGAGATCTGGGATCGAGTTACAAGAAAAGACAGTATCGATCTGACAACTGCACGTGCTGACAAAGATTTGTATATTCTCTAGGATGCATGTTACCATGGCAACTTTTCTTTTGCAACTGATCGTTGTAGATACCAAGAAAACTTTCTATTAGCTTGAGCTTTTCACATTACTATACGTCAAAGTCTCGTTAACCATGTTATTTGCTCATATCACGTTATATATTGTGCATTATATAAGAAATTGTGTTTTTCTCGAAATATTTTCTGTGTAACCATATATACAAGATATCTAATAATTATTGCATTCGTGTGCGGACAAAATAGATTAAACTGAGTAGAAAAATCTTGTCTTTTTTTGTAATAATTGAATTTTTGCAATAATTAAAGTTTTTCACAAAAAGCAACAAATCCAAAAAGATAAATTTTTGAGAAATAAAGATCTTCTTCTTCAAACTATTTATTATATAAATGTTGTAATTTTTTTCAAATAGATATACAGGATGATAAAAAATCATTTAGCATTTATATTATATATTAAACAAAAAAGTCCTTAGAGAAGACAGATTAAAAACTTAATCGTTTCTAAGATATAAATAAAAATGTATATGTTATATACATAAGAACAAAGTTTTAATAAAGAGCGACGTATTTAAAAAAGAAGAAAAAATTTTTGGACTTGTTTGATTCTTCTGAAATTTTATTTACTGCCAATTTTTATCTTGTAACATTTTTTACAGTTATCTGTTTTTATAATATTAATAAGGATAAAAAAAGGAAAGATATAAAAACAGAAATGTAAAACAGTCAGAGAAAATCAAATATTCGATTCTGATTTAATTATTAATCATTAATCATTAATCATTGAATTGATTTAGCGCTTAATGAAGATTCGATCGACCAAAGATTATTATTAATTGCATAAGAGCAACTCATGTCTACTCATTGTCTATCAGTGTCGACTGATTGCGTAGCATTCAATATAATACGGAAAGCCTCGCCGATCTCTGTAATTTATCTGTCAGATTGCCTGCCAATCGCACACGAGATATATGCCAATTTGTACGGGTCAACATGATGTGTCAACCCCCCTTCTCTTCGTGTCTATCTCTTGCATTTCCGCATTCGATTAAATTTGGTTTTGGACGATGGAGTCACGTCATTGTTGAGATAGCATAGACGTGTTAAAATAATTCAACGTGAAAGCCCGTATCTTTGCAGAGGAGAAACTATTTTATCCTATTAGTCCTTGAATAATGAAATTTTATGGGAATAAAAAATTTGCAAGTAAAAATGCGATGTACGATAATATACATATCTATATCCTACTTATATGTGCAAGATATTAAAATAAATCACATGAAATATCTTTATATTTATTAAAAGAAAAAATTTAATATATTAATAAAAATGTTTTCATATTAATCTTTGTACAAAAATTTATAAAGATTTTAATAATAGATTATTAATATAGTATAGAATGCGTACAGAATGAAATGTATGTAATTCAATTTAATTTTTTATTTAATATAAACTATTTTTTTTACAAAGAATATAAAATTT